GGGGGGGGGGGCGTCCAAGCGTCGCCCTTTGTCGCGCCCGGGGCCCCGGCCCGGCCCGGCCCGGCTCGGCCCGGCGCGCTGTGCTCAGGCCCGTACCTTCTTGTAGTTCTTGCCGAGCCAGAGCCGCACGTTATCAAACTGGGTCACGGTGTCTGCGGCCTCGTAGTACTTCACGTTGGGGCCTCCATCCTTCTTCCGCACCGCCATCTTCTCCTGGCTCCCCCCCCCCAGCTGCCGCCGCCGCCGCCACCGTCGCCGCCCGCCCCGCTCCCTCGCCTCGCCTCGCCTCGCCTCCTCCTCCGCCCGCCGCCCGCAGCCGCCTGGGCCCAACGCAGCGCCCCCTGCCGGGCCCGGCCACAGTGGTGCGCGGAGTGACGGGGGGGGGGTCAGTGAGAAGTGGGGGTCAGTGAGGGGAGAGGGAGTGACTGGGGGGGTCAGTGAGGGGAGAGGGGAGTGACGGGCAGTCAGTGAGGGGAGTGATGGGGGGGTCAGTGAAGGGAAAGGGGAGTGACGGGGGGTCACTGAGGGGAGAGAGGAGTGATGGGGGTGTCAGTGAGGAGCGGGGGTCAGTGAGGGGAGAGGGGAGTGACGGGGGGAGGGTTCAGTGAAGGGCGGGGGGGGTCAGTGGAGGGTAGGTGGAATGACAGGGGATTTAGGGGGGAATAACAGGGGGAGTGAGTGAAGGGGGGAGTGACTGGGTGGGAATCAGTGGAGGGCGGGGGAAGAGAGCGGTGGGGGGTGATGACAGGGGGTCACTGAGAGACTGCGAATGGGGGAATGACAGAAATAAGGGGCGGGGGAAGTGACTGAGGAGGTCATTGAGGGGCAGGGGAGAGCGTCGAAGGTCACTGAAGAGTGGGAGGGGTCGAAACTCTTCCATGAAGAGAAAGCGGTCTCCCTTCTCCGGAAGCCCCCCTCGGATGTTCCAGCCCCTTCACACCGTTGCCCCTCTCTCCCAGAGACGTTCGCTCCTCCTCGGAGCCCCCACGCTTCTCCCCGCCCCTGGGGCCGTCCCCTCGGACCCGCTTTCCCTCCGACACCGCCCCACTTAGGGCTGACCCCGGGCCCCGCCCTTTCCTGAGGGGATTCTGAACCTTCTCTCCCAAACTTTGGTGAGGAACCACCGAGAACGGCGGGTGAAGGGGTGTCTGCATCGAGAATTAGAGAAAAACTTTTTCTTTGGGCTCGCAACCCCTTCCGCGCCGCTGGCAACCCTTCCTATAAGCGCGCGACAAAAGTAGAGCCTGGGAGTCACGGTGGCCGAGTGGTTAAGGCGTTGGACTCGAAATCCAATGGGGTTTCCCCGCACAGGTTCGAATCCTGTTCGTGACGGTAGAGCTGCTTTTTTATTTCTCCTGCTCAAGAAAAGGGGAGGCTCCAACCTAATTCATACTGTGTCGGTTTCGGTTGGAAAAAAAAAAGGTTAAGCGCCTGGATTTTCGGGGTGTAGAGGGGAGGGGCGTGTTTTTCATAGCCCCGTTGATGGCTGGCCGAGCCGCCATCCTGCCGGTCCCTTCCTTTCGAGGTCTGCCCGCTCTTGTCAGTTTTTATTAATTTTTTGGAGGGGGCTATAGGGGTGTGATTAGTTTGAGGTTAGATTGGATGTGAGGCAGAGATATTTTTAGGGAAGATGGCAGGAAAGACTCTTACAGAGTAGCTATGATGAGATCGCCTTCTGGGAGTGTAACGAGAGGAGGGCGAGAGGTGTTGAGGGGTGACTCCCAGTGAGGACGCGCCAGCAGCTGCCTTTCTGGCGTTTCTTAAATGGGGTGTCTTAGTGATGCTCCAGAGCGTATGAGGCTAGCTGAAAAGCAAGTTTGTTTGTATGGAAAGTCCTTGTACTAGGCTGCAGTCAGACAGGAAAAATCAATGGTACGGGAGTTAGTGTGGTACAGAGGACGCACCAATGGTTCGGAACTAAGGGGTCATGAGTTCGAATCTCCCTTCTTGACGATTGTTGGGTAACTAGTTTGTTGATTCCTAATTCATTCAAACAAGGTTGGTTCCATTATGTTACCTTCCAAAGGTTTCTTCTGCTTTAACCTTTATTAGCTGAGGAAGGAAATTGGGGGGAATGAGGAAAACGCCACACAGGAGATAATTTAATTGTAGCTAAACTGACCAGTTGTCTTATTTTTCTGTGTGCATAGTGACCTGTTTGTTCCACACCTGATCCACATTATATGTTGAGTATCCTATTACGTTTCCCCTTTTTGTGAAACCTAGATGTCAGCCTAATTTTTATTAGCTGGCCTCCAGGGTTCCAGGGTGAGATTTCAATGAGCTAGAGTTGGAAAAAAAAAAAAAAGGGAGTCTTCTTATTCGAAGCGGCGACCTGTCCCCCCGGACTGAGCTCGGTTCAGCTGCACGCAGGGGCCAGTAGAGGCTCCCTGGATGGAGAGGGGAGGGGGCCCCAGGACCTGGAGCCCTTGTCTGGGACTGCTCGATTTCTGCATCCAGGCTCCCCTCTGTCCTTCGGCTTCCATTCAGTCAAGTCTGGCGGTTCAGGGCGACGCCAGTACGGCTACAGTAAAATCTACCGACTCAGAACTGAAAAGGTTCTCTTTTTTTTCTCGAATTCCTGTTACCTTTCTTGGTAGTAAAAACACGTCTTCTGCCTTTTTAAACTGGCTGATGGCTGAACAAACTGGGCTGTGATTATAATGGAGAATTATTGTACCATAAGAGACAGCTTAAGAGAATCCTGAGAAGTGTGAACTTATACAGAATAAAGGGAGCAGAATCAGAAGAATTTATATGACAGTATTATAAAGAAAAACAACTTTGACAGACTTAAGACTGGAGCAGTCTCTATAGCTAGAGTGCTGGATAGGAAAGTTATTGCCTCTGAGTTTAAAGCTTTTCTATCATTTGAACTGGATTTTAGGGGTATAGTTCACAGAATATTCTTCACTTGAAATGTCTTTCTGGGTCATGGAGTCAGACCTTTATGACTAGAAGGTCGTCTCTTCCATGTGGCATCACTTTTTTGTCTGCCTTTCAGAGAATCCAAATAACTCACCTATTGGCAATAAGTGGTTACAGTGGATTGCTTTTGTAGGATCATTGCCAATCTCTGGGACCATTTCGTACACAAAGCAATATGACCAGTCTCTCCACTCCTAGGTATAGAGTAGCTTTCTATCAAATTGCGAGCTTGTGTATCCCACGAATATCATGGCTTCTCAGCAGAACTTCTAGTTGAAAGTCCTGACAATTAGTTCAATCATCACATTGTCATTTATTTCAGTGCTCTTTTGGGCTGAAGTTGTGGCTAGGTGCTAAGCTTTCTCTAACTCCTCTTGAAGCCAAGAGATGTATAGATTGTATTTGTTTTCTTTCTATCCTCTGAGACTCTACAGTCAGTAGGTAGGTGTGATCCAGGCCCATATATAAGCAGAGAGGGTGTAAAGTCATTGATTAGCATAGGAAAGCAACATGTTGATTACACGGAGACTTTTATCTCAGTGTCCCTAATATGTGCTTTAAAATTTAGTGTTTTTTCTGGACTTAAACACACACAAAATCGAGCATTTATATGTACACAGAAAAACACAAAAAGAAAATTACATGGGGCAGCTAGGTGACACAGTGGATAGAGGACTGGCCCTGAAGTCAGGAGGACCTCAGTTCAAATGTGACTTCAGACCAAACACTTGACACTAGCTGTGTGACCCTGGGCAAGTCACTTAACCCCAGTTGCCGAAAAAAAGAAAATTACACAAGGGATTATTGGTGTGTAACATGCTTCATCATAGCTACACTAGATTGGTCATTATTTTTTATCAAAGGTCTTAAATCTGTCAAAGTTGTTTTTCTTTATAATACTGTCACATAAATTCTTCTCCTGATTCTGCTCACTTTATTCTGTATAAGTTCATACTTCTCAGGATTCTCTTAAGCTGTCTCTTATGGTACAATAATTCTCCATTATAATCACACAGCCCAGTTTGTTCAGCCATCAGCCAGTTTAAAAAGGCAGAAGACGTGTTTTTACTACCAAGAAAGCTTATCCTGCAAAGTTGTGAGTAATACTTAAAGAGGGAAATGGACCCTTAAGTGAAATAGAGGATATTCAAGTATTGCTTTCATATGAAAAGGCCAGTTTTTTTCTTTTCTTTTCTTTTAATCCTCTCTTTAAGATCAGTAAGTTTCCTTATTGAGTTTAATGTATTTCTGCACCAAGCTCTGTGTGTGTTTTGCCTATTTCAGACAAGTGAGATTCATTTGATGCCAACTCTCCCTTGTTGCTTCTTCCATGTTAGTATACTTGTCTTCTTATGCCCCTCTTTATGAGAAATAGCAAGCTTTACTCCCCACTTGCTCGTGTCTGTACTAATGTGACTCCTTTTACTCTCCCTTTTCTTTCCCTTCTTAAAACTAAGGGAATTGTGGGAATTTACTGAACCAAACTGACTTCATCTTGTGACTCAATTCTGGACCTGGCTCAGTGCCCTTTCTGTTCAATTATAGGTCTAGTCCAAATTCTATTTTGCAGGGAAACTTCATTCAGTTATGGGAATTGTGAGAATACTTTATTACATTGTTTGAACCTATCCCCGCATGGCTGTAAAGCTGGACCACTTCTAGCTGTTTCTTAGAGACACTTAACTAAGGACCTAGGTTATGCTGACCAGAAACCCAGTCAAATCATTGATGCAAGGAGTTTTCTCACACTTATGCATCTCAAGCAACCCATATATCTTATCTAAAAACTGGTCCTGTATTGGTCAATCAGTTATTGTTTCCATGTTTGATTGAATACAAACATTTGGGGGGGAGTGGGACCCCTTTTTTCTGACTTTAGGGAATTGTACTTACTCGCTTTCCCCTTCCCAACTTGAAAACTCCCTAATCTTTACTCCAATTAGAAATCATATTACTTAATCTTGTGTCCTGGTTTTTACCTTGTTAATTGTTCTTTTAATTAATTGGTCTTGTTTGGTTGTTTTTAATGTGTAACAATCCTTCTCCTCCTGTATTCAGGGTCCAGTACCAAAGCTAAGGAAGCCTGGTCCTGATTCGTTATGCAATTGGTATGCATTATTTAATAAACTGATAGGCTCAGACGTTCAAACCTTTTTTTCTTCAGTTATTTCAGATTCCACCTGCCACAAAACCCTAAGAACATGACTAACTTAACCCATAACCTGTTTTTCTTATTTAATCCCCTTAATACCTTTTGAAGACATTAAGGTTCTAAAGGAACATTTATCTTTCTTCTCCTCCTTTTAGATTGTTA